GGGATTTCGAATCGCTTCTACCGTTGGAGGATCGTTGAGTCCCGGGCTGGAATTAAATGCTTGTTTGGAGTTTTAAGCGCGGTCGAATCCAGATAGGCCCACGATAACGCATTATCAACACGTTCTTTCATTGGTTCAGTCACTTATGTAAGGCAACTTCATTCCCGACTTGTTTCACATAATTTTTTGAGTTGCTGTAAACAATAGATGGAATTTGTCCAGAAATCCGGCATCTTGCTCCTCCGTGGAGGACTTGGTGCTACCAATATCATCAGTCACTTAAATTTAGCCCTTTTAACAGGCGTTAGGCTTTATTTACTTAGTTTGGTTTTGGATACCTTTTGCGGGTGATGACCGCCAGCCCCTGCTGAATTAGCACGGGCGTATCACGAAGCTTAAAGTTTAAGTAATGTCCCTATACTCTCACTGCACTTTTCCTGCGTAAAATATCTTACGTACTGGCAGTCAATTTAATCTCTGTCATTTTGTTCTTCAAGGTACAAATAATTGGGAGTTTTGCTAAAATGTTAAGCGGTTCCTGTTGACTTGTGTCGGGACTAATCATGGTGACCGAAGGGTTCCCTATGTATGAATACAGCACGTACACATGAAATGGTCTACACTATTCACTATCTTCCGTGGGTCCTCCACTTTTGCTTCCAAGAATTTTAATGAAATCTTGCTGTGCACATTGCATATCGTTTCTATCCTTCGTTGCCTTCGACAGTATTTGCAAATCGGTTAAGTTACTTTATATTTGTTACTAATTTACATGTCTGGCTTCATAATTTTTTTATGGAAGCTAAAAAGGTTCGACTGAATACAGCAGGGTGTGTGCCGAAACTTCCAGCGACATGCATAAGTGGCGAACATCTATGGTCATCAAAACTCTCCAATTTCTACCAAAAATGCTTTAACCAGTCAAAGTATTCAGCCATTCTTATGTCATTCCTATCAAATAATATTAACGTACCGTCCTAAACTTGTAAATTGTGAAGCAGGACAATTAATGGTTGCGAATGATAGCAGGGTCTGAAGACGTTCAGTATTTCGCCAAGCATTTGTTCATTTGGGATTTTCAGCATACCTTGAAGGTGTTTTCCTTAACCTACCTTATGCGGTTTTGAAGCAGCTGAAGATATTGTCCAAAATATTGCTTAATGGATTTGGCAATGGCAACAGGAATATTTCAGCACCATTCCAGATGATTCCCGTTGTTATGGACAGCGTCTCTTACAATGTGCACCTACATGAGGGGGCAAGACTTGAAGGGTAAATTTTTAACTTTCAAAAGTAAGACGCGAGCGGTAATTCGCATATTCAGGGCATTCGAAATTTGGGATTGTTACCTATGATTTTTTTGAAACACATTTGACCTTCCTCTTACATTTAATAGATTGATCTTATAGCAACCTCCTCACTTCATATAAACACTGTGGCAGTTTGCGATGCCGATGCTCCTGTGCGATATACGGGAAATCTCCCATCAGTCTTAGCGTGTTAGGTCGTCGGAACAGCCTTTCAGCATTTAGTCCTTTTGTTTTATTGCTCTCCATTGACGCCTGTCGAAAACTTTGTTGCCCTTCATCCGACATTATTTGCTACTGGAAGCCTAACGACTTGCTTATGGGTTGCTCAATGTTAATTTGCCTGATTTAGAATTTTTAATTACGTTCGTAACATCACACTGCCTTCAAATAAGGCTTCGTATGCTTATGGCAAGCATTACACTAAGGAAATTATTTTAGCACTATGAAAGTGTTACCTCTAAGTCTTAAATGAGTAAACCAGCATCAAATCCACTGGGTAACTTGAATGCTAGATCCTCGTTGCTTCATATTTGCAATGGCATTGGTTATATGTTCACACGATGGAATGGCCGCATTTCTTGCGGAAACGTTGTTATTGTCAAGTAATTCTCGCTGTAAATCTGAATCAAGGTACAACGGTGTTTGAAGTGGATAAGGA